TGGTGGGTCAGGAGAAGGTTTTATCTGATTATCCAAATGAGAATTTTCAGAAGTCCTTTCTGTGGTTTTATTAATTTCAACTGTAGTATCATTAATTTTAACTTCTTCAGAATTAATTTCTTTCATTTTTTCCTGCTGGCAAGCTATACTTCTATCATGTGATTTTGTACCTAAAAATGTACTTTGAGTCACTGGATGATGCAATTCTAAAGCTGGTGGTGAAAAACTGGCTCGTAATAAGCCCAATTTAGGGGAAACTTGAGAGTCCAACTTATTTTGCTGCACGGAATTAAATTTTGAGAGTTTAATTTTAGTCCAGTTGGAGTTCTTCTTAGTCGAATTGTTTATTCCATTTAGTATACATTTCACAGGCTTTGTTTTTCTACTGGGGAAGAAGCGATTACATTGCACATCCTGATTTGTTTCCTTCTGATGAAGCATTTGTCTTTCAACACTGGTCTCTTCCAATTTTTTTTCTGAAGGCTTCTCCTCCTTTACACTTTCCATTTGTGAAGATTCCTTTTTTACCTCTACGGTATCTGACTCAATTTCACCAGCAATTTCTTCACAGAGCTGTAGAATACTACCTCGTTTACTTTTTCCTGCTTGCTCCAACTCATTATCTACACTTTGTTCAGGCACTGATGGCTGTGGACTTTTTTGGGATTTTGCGCTTGTATTGACATGTGTATGAACTGACTTCATCTCATTCTTTTTTGAGACCACTGAAGCAGCAAGTTTTGATCTTTTTATTTCAGAAGTTGTAGGCACAGGTTTTGTTTCCTCTTTTGTAGCAGTCTTTTGAAGACACTTTTCAGAACCTTGTATGCATTGAGAACTACAAGTATAAGCTGTCTGATGTTCTACCTTGCGTTTTTTCCCTTTTGGAAAATATATTACTTCATTAATAACTCGATTTTCATCCTCCTTAGAGTCACACTTTATTTCCAATACTTTTCTTTTTACATGTTTCTGACTTGTTTTAACTTTATTAGATTTATTTTGAGTACTGCTACAGTGCTCTTTTCTCGTAGGTGGCAAATTCTGTTGAACTACTTGAACTTGACTCTGAATTTCTCTACTGCGCAAAGACCTTGAAATCTCTGTTAACTGTTGTAGTCTTTGTGATCTCCGGTTAAGCTGTTCGTTTGCTTTAGGGGTTTCATGCACTACTTTTTTCTGAGATAACTTCTTTTTTGTAGATTCTTGTTGAGAAGGTCCTTTCACAGTCACTGGATTTTTATTAGTGGATTTAGTAGCTTTGTCACTGGACACTGCCTTTGTTGACCTTGTACTCATGCGTGTTCCCAACTCAAACTCATTTATTTTGCTTTCATAGGAAGATTTAACCAGTGATTTTATAGTTTCCTTTGGACCTGATTTTTTTGCTAGATTCTTTTGAGAATCTGAAATTTCTGTTTCTGAATTCTTATCTTCACTTTTTTTAGCAACTTTGGAGGAATTTTCTTTTGACTTCTCCTGAATGGACATCATTCCTGAGCAATGTCTTCCTTTTCTGAGTAGTTTTTGAGAGGATTTTCGTGCCCTGGTAGATGTGAATGCTGAATAGCTAGTATTATTTATTACTTATGAGCAGGTCCTAAAAATCAACTTTGACGCTGACAAACATTTTCAACAAAAATACTAGTTTGCTTCTAGTAAGAATTCTGTCATTCCTAGGACATGAGAAAAACTGGCATGAATGCTGAAAGATATCTCCTTTACTATGGACAAGGCAATACAAATTTGAGAAAAATCTGATTCTAAATTGATTATTTTTACAAAATTTTTATGAAAAAAAATTTAATTCAGGTTCAATTTGTTTTGTTAAATTTTTTTTAGTTAATTTTGGCTTCAGACCTAGCCCTATTACTGGAGGAGTTATTTATCACTGACCTATCTGTTTGGATAAAATTTTTGAAAACTTTTTTCTTCTGAAGTCTACGGTTCCTGTACTTTGACTCATTTGAAACATGTCTTATGGTTATCACGTTTCTTTCCTTGTTTGCTGAGTCTCTTGGTTTGCAGTTTTTATCTAACCGCCTTCTTTTAATAAAATACTCTATTAATATAGGTTTTCTTTTGTGCTGCCATTTCTGAAAAAATAAAAAATTAAAATTTTGTATAATTCATGAAATACAGCAATGCTATTACTATACAAAAATAACCTTGATTTAAACAAGATCTAATTCTTTCTTTTGAAATATCTAGTCTGTACATTTAAGGCTAACAAAAAGTACACTCCTATGAATAATCAATAACCTGCCTCATATAAGCATAAGATAGTTGAAAATCAGTTTATTCCTTGAAGTATACTTACAGTTTTTTCCCCACAAGATAGAACTGATGTTTCAGCCACCATAACTTATGAAAATTTGGCAAAACCATTCCTTAACACATTACACAGCACCTAAAAGAAAAAGGTTTTAGACTTAAAAAGTGTTTAAAAAGACAAAGAAAAGATATAACCATCCATTCACCTCTCACTAAATATAACACTCCATAATTTTACTCTGTCCAACCATTAGTCATTTCTACAGAGCTCACTTTACCAAGAGCACTTAATTTTCAGTTTTCCTAACATACAGTAAACTATAGTACATGCATCCAATGACTAGTATGCACCCATTTTATGTTGTAGAAAAAAGTTTCAAAATACAAAAAACAATTCATAATATAAGCGTAAAATCAGTTAAACTGGTAAAGTAAAACCCTATTTGGGAGGAAAAAAAACAGTGCACAGATAGCTAAAGACACAAGAGAAAGAATGAAGCATGGCCAGGCTCAGTGGCTCAGCCTGTAATCCTAGCACTTTGGGAGGCCAAGGTGAGTGGACTGCCTGAGCCCGCGGGTTC